ATAAAAATTGAATTTAGGACGAGTAGTTTACCCARCAAAATKTTTGTCCACTACTCCGCTTGTCTAAACTTTAAATACTTATAACTCATAAACTACTCGTCCTAAATTTGATTTTTATGAATCAAAATACTTAGAAAAATATTCTGCTTTAGAATATGAAATTAAAACTCTATGTTGTCATTCAAAAAAGTAATACACTTAAAAAATGATAAGGATAAAAAATATTTTTAAAGAATTTTTTTTTATATAACAACTTGAAACTATGTAAAATAATATTTTCTATAAAACATTAATAATTTTTGAAATAATGAGTGTTCAATGATAAAAGAATAATACTATATATATAATACTTATAGGATTTAAAACTTTCATACAATTATAAACGTACATTTCGCCAGCCCCCCCCCCAAGTATGATTTTTGAATTTTTTTTTTTGCTAAACTTTAGAGTGTGCCATTAGTGTGAATTTGTGTGACTAATTTCAGAATTTGTGCGATACTGGTTTAACCGTAAATTCAAAAATATATAAGGGGGCTGGGGAACATTTCTCCAGCTCCCCTCATATATTTGTGTTTAATATGTTTTACTGTACAATGAATCTAATATTATATTATTAAAATTAGTGGATACTACCGTCTACCAATTACCAACACTACAATATCTACTTCTAGGCCTATGTCGCCGAGGGTATATTTCATTTAGTAAGAAAAAATAAAAAAATATCTACTTCTAAAATCAGTCAAATAATATACATATAAAATGTTGTAAAATAAAAATCCGTAATAGTAATTTATAAAAGAAAAACAACTTTTGAAGGTCATTAAGAATTATAAGAATTTCGTCACGAAGTTGAAAGCAACTTCTATTAATAGTTTTTTAAAATTAATCCAAATCTCTAATACTGGAAAGAAATAAGATCTGGCGATAGGTAATTTTTTCTAGAAATACAATCATTTTTAACGTATTATTTTAGTCGAGTGCTGGAATCTATACTACTTTTAATCGTTTACTTTTTTGACTAGTCTAATTGACTTTTTAAATTTAAGATTTTAGACATTTATTAAAAAAATTATAGTTTTTCACGTATGTATTTATTACCTATTCAATATTTTAAGTGACATTCGTGTTGTTATTATTATCTAAATAAACAAAAAAAACATTCTTGAACTTGATGAAAAATAAACGTACAAGAACTAATTATCTCGTTGTATAATATAAATAAGGTTATGATGGTTTCTATATGTTTAAAAAGTAAATTTTGGACCTGCAGGTGTGGTAAGGTGGTTGGCCGAAGTCACTTATTACTTGTTCTGAGGTCAAAGCATCGGCCGGCGTCGCTAGCTCCCGGATGGGCGACCACCTGAGTTCTTAGTGACGAATCCTCGTCCTATTTACATGTATTTTAAGCCAAACTGTAAAATCAGGTCATGCGGTTGATCCATTGAAAAACAATTGACTCTGACCTGGTATATATGCACATTGCACACACTAGTCGTATTATACTAGTGTAAGAATTAAAGAATACCAAAAAATAACATTTATATTTGTAATACACAAAAATTTATTTTGGGGTCTGGTGTGGCGCGGTGGTTTGCCATGGTCAAACATCGCCTGGCGTCACTAGCTTCCGGATGGGTGACCACCTGGGTTCTTAGTGACGAATCCTTACCCCCACATGCTCACATGTTTCTAAACAAACATACGCAATATGACCATAGTTGCCGACGGATTTATATATAAAAAAAGTATATTATATAATAATAAAAATTATACGAATCAGATTGTACATTGTTTAAGTCTATATAAGATATTACAGTTCATATTATAACTTTTCAATAATAATATAATAATTCACAATACGTATGTAATTTGAGATATTTTGGATGGTTAAATTTTCTTCTGGACATTTGATCTTTATCACATAAAAAAAATACAGACACTGTGATGTAAAGATTACCTATCACACAGCAAAATGTTATGTTGAAATAATAAATAATAATATTTTATCGTAGAAAAAATTGTGTAAATTTTTTTTTAGTTCCTTTCACTTAAAAAATAGTCAAAATCGTAATAATTCAATTTCTGGGTTCGAGGATCGTTTGTTTTTGGTCCTATATAAAAAAAAATTATTATGATGCCACATGATTTGGTGCCAAAAAAGCATAATAACTATCATTTTAGTGCGTTGGATGGGGACATAATTTAGATAATACCCCATTTATAAAATTATTTTACAAAAGTTGTTTTGCTTTAATGAGAACGTTTCACTTGTCCAAGTATTCAGTTATTCTTACAAGTGTAAGACGTAAAAAAATTTATGTTCAGCAGTTACCAATAGGATAATCGGTTTTTAATAATAATAAAGGAAAATTCTCTTCAACATGACTTTTGTAAGTCGGAGACAATACAAACAGATAAATCTTTAATACTTATTAGTTATTACTTCTACAATTTACGTCCAATCATACTTCCATGTTTAAATCAAATTTTTTGATTAGAACTTGATAGTATGTACCAGTGGCGTAACTTGGAGTCAATCCTGTGGGGGGGGGGGCAAGCAGTAGTTAAACTAAAAATGCATATATAAAACTAATCTTAGTTCGCATTGTGCTATTGTGGTAATAACTAATAACCCGCCATGCCATCACTGTCATCTATCTGCAATTCCTCGTATTACGATATGAAGGCGATCGGTTTATAATGATACTATTAATAAATAATAATCTCAAAAGGCACTCAAAAATTCGAAAAGATAAATCTATTATTATTAATTACTAAACAAACCATTATGCTGTTTAATTTTGCTATGATAAAATAGAAATTGAATTATAAGTTATAACTTTTAAAGGGGGGCAAAACGATACTATTGCCCCCTCAATAAAATATCTGGAGGGGCAGTTACCCCCTCTTGCCCCCCCCAGATTACGCCTATGGTATGTACTGTGGATGCGCCTACATATTCACGACAGTTCACTCATGTAGGACGTATATATGCACTCATCCCAACAAAACACTCGCCTTATAAATATGTGCTTAAAATTATATATGCACAAAAAAATTGGGATCTATCCATAAATGTACGTATTATCTAAGACGAATTCAAAACTGCTATTGTTACAATGTGTTAGAAGCCTTGTATTACATTTTCAAGCTTTTCTACCCAACAAATAAATAATTATCGATATTTATAGAAAAAAAAAACTAAAAAATTAAAATGTCAGTAACAGCTTAAAATAAATCTAAATATTTTTAAAATTGTATCAAATATAGAAAATGCCTATATGAACATTCAGTGAAAATTTCAAGTATCTGCAGTAATTTGTTTTAGAGTTATACCAAAATAAGAAAATCGCTAAATGTGAAATCCAGTGAAAATYCAATGTTGTAAAAAATTTAAATTTCAAATGCTCATAAAAATTTAATTTGAATCTCCGATGGACTTTTTATTTGTGATAAAGATTGAAACCTTGTATTAAATGTTTAAATCTTAGATTTAAAAACGAACATTTTTTATGAATTTCTTGCTTAAAACAATTTGTGCATTTTTGTGATTTTTACGTATTTTGTCAAAATTCAAACTTTGAATGCTTATAAAAAAAAAAATTGTGACTGAATTTATTTTATTTTTCAGCTGCTATTGTAGAAATATGTTAAGAGCCTTGTATTAAATTTTCAAGCTTTTCTTTGGCTTTGCCACAGATTTATACTTTTTACTTTTTAGGTAAATTATTATAGATATTTATAAAGTCTTAGAGGTTTTAAAAATTTACCGCGTTCACAATATTTATAATAATAACTAGCTGAGCCCTTGCTGTAGCCCGTTAAAAGTCCTACCTATTTTATGGCTCAAAGTATATCTATCTATCTATCTATCTATCTATCTATCTATCTAGCGAGATAGCTATATTTATAAAAATGGATGTCTGGATGTATGCATAAAGGTATTCCAATTCCAATTGGTGGGCCGATTTCAAAGAAATTTGGTATAATTATAATTACAGTATAATTATTCATATACAGGGTGTCCCAAAGAGATCTGACATTCTGACAAATGAATAACTTTTGTTCTAATCAATATTTTTTAAAAATTTCTTTTAAATATAATCCATAGACAYTTGCGCTACATTTTTTATTTTTTAATACTGAAAATAAAAAACTTAAAAATTGATAAAAAAATTTTTCGAAATATTCAATATA